CTTTAGTGATAATTAAATTAATTATGTATAATAAATTAATAACTTAAATATTTAATGATAATTTTTAATTTTTTAGATCAAAAAATAAATTATGTGTTTATTTGAGTCAATGTAAAATACAAATAAAATAAGGTTAAAGAAGGCAGAAGAACAAACCACAATAAAATAATAATAATTAAAACGACAAAAAAAAATACCAAATAGTTAAGAATAGTATTTATTTATTTATTTATGATTTACATAATAGATCTCTTGTAGAATTTAATTTGATCTCTTGTAGAATTTAATTTATCTGTTGCTTTTTTCACTTCCATGTAGACCAGAAAAGTATCCTTGAATAAAACTGTTTTTCTTTGCAAGGGTAGAGCCCACAAACAAGGGTGGCAACTTAAAAAGAAAAATAAAAAAAGCCTAACTGGTTTGACCGTTTACACTTAACGGTCAATAAACAACATCGTTAGCTTACATTGGATGGAGGGACGACATTAGCATGGTTTTGCATTGCAGAGGAAGGACAAGTAGACTTAATTAATAGAAGAGGGATGACAGGAAGCCAATCCATAATAGAAAGTTTAGAATGCACTATTTTTGATAGTAGAGGGACGATAGATGACCTTAACCCTAGAAGAAAGGAAGACGATTTAAAAATAAATTTTTTATATTAATTTTTTTAATAAATTTTTATGAATTATTTAAATAATTAATTATTTTTATTTATTTAAAACTTTTAATATTAAATATATTTATTTCTTTAATAATGTACAAAAATTATACAAAGGAGTGATACGAAAAATTATCCTATACTATCACCCATACGAGAAAATAATAAAGCCACACAAAAGTAAAAATGTTTTGTTGCAAGGACTATTTTGCCCCTGTCAGGGCCAAAATCATCTACATGACTACGTCCCTTCCCTTGCTTCCAATGTTGTGAATTTTCGACTGACACCTCCTGCATTGACTTCAATTCCCTCGTCAATGGTAACAAAAATGAAGTATTGTATAATTTAAAATAAATTAAATTATATAACTAAATTATTAAATAAAAAGTTAATTCTCCTAAAAATAGAGTTGATTTGAGAGGAAATGAAAAAAGAGGAGAGACTGTGTTCTTAATCAATCGCGCGCGCATATGCATTTCATTTAAAGAAGCCAAATTTTACTAAAATATAAAATTGGTTCATGCAAATTTAATATATTATTATAAAATTATAAAAAGGCCAAAGCTATATAAGGCAGGATAATCAAGTTTGTGGGATGTGTTGAATTATTGGCAAAGGGCAATAATGTAGTGAGGCCAATTGCTGATACAGGAAAATTATAGAAAAATATTGCCCTTTTCCTATATTGATTTGCTGAATTTGTACAATACATATATATAACATTCTAACAGTATAATGCAACGGCTAGAATAAACAAGTAATTGCTAATTAATTGCTTTTTGTAATTCCTTCCTAGAATCAAGGGATGACCTTGATATGCTGCGATGGCTGTGCTGTATATGTAGCTAATAGCCCCCCGTAAGTTGGAGCATGTAAGTTGTAGATGCCCAACTTGCGTAGAAGGAACTGGAATTGCTCTTTTCCCAATGCTTTGGTGAAGATGTCAGCAATTTGGAACCGAGACCGGACATGTGAAGGTGAGATAACACCAGCTTGTATCCAATTACGAATAAAGTGGCAGTCAAGTTCGATGTGCTTTGTTCGTTCATGAAAGACTGGATTGGTGGCAATGTGTAAAGCAGCTTGGTTGTCACAATAAGTCTAATCGGCTGAGGAGGATGAACTCCTAAGGTTCGGAATAGTGCCTTTAGCCATAGTAGTTCACTAACAGTGGATGCCATTGCTCTATACTCAGCTTCAGCAAAGGATCTTGATACAGTAGTTTGTTTCTTAGTTTTCCAAGAGATTGGGGAGTTGCCGAGCATGGTGATGTAGCTTGTAGTGGATTTCCTTGTCATTGGGCAACTAGCCCAATCAGAGTCACAAAAGGTAGAGAGGTGAAGTGAGCTTGTTGACGATAAGAAAATGCCTTGGCCTGGGGAAGATTTCAAGTAACGTAAGACTCTCATGGCAGCATCCATGTGAGGCTGTTTGGGTTCTTGCATAAATTGACTTAAAATATGAACAGCATAAGATATATCAAGTCGAGTTATAGTCAAATAGATAAGTTTTCCAATGAGTCGACGGTATTCTATAGGATTGGATATGGTGCGACCCTCATCCTTGTTAAGTTTGAGCTTTTGCTCCATTGGAAATTTGCAAGGCTTTGCTTCTACCATCCCTGATTCCGTCAAGATATCAAGAGTGTATTTTCGCTGACAGAGAAAAATTCCAGATGGATGTCGAGCAACTTCAATACCAAGAAACTATAGGTTTCTTATCAGGAGGTAGCATCTCCAAAGTCCAAGTGTTATTTTTCTCAAGAGCATCTATTTCATCTTTCATTGCTTGTCTCCATTTGGGATCTTGCATGGCCTGAGAAAAGGATTGTGGCTCATCTTCGATAGAGATGGCAGCTAGAAAAGAGCGGTGAGATGGACTAAATTTTTCATAGGAAACAAAATGAGTGATCGGGTGTTGTGTACCTAGAATTTTTATTGATTCACTTACTGAAGTTTGAACCCCATTCAAGATGTAATCAGTGAGGTAGGCAGGTTTCTTTTTCTCCTGTTGAGGCCGATGTGTTTCGCGTTGGGAATTATTTTCAACATGCCTCCGAATGGCTTTTACGCCATGCTCTGGCCCATTCATGTCGCATGGGTTCTCGCATGGTGCAGTATGTTCATGAGCTGGGCTGGTGCAGGGGCTTGATTCTTGTTGCCTATCTAATTTGGTACATGTGGAATGGCCCTTTGTTGCTAATCCATCATCATCAAAAAGAATTGTTTGTGGGATCCCAGTTTTTTGTTGAGAGTTTAATTGCTATAAAGGAAATATATTCTTGTAGAAAACAACATCACGAGAGACAAAAATGCGATTAGTGGTCAAATCAAAAACATGATATCCTTTCTTACCTTGTGGATAACCAATAAAAATGCATTTTGTAGATCTAGGAAGGAATTTGTCATGTGATATAGAATCACGAGCATAACATAAACAACCAAATACTTTAAGATGTGTGTAAGATGGAGACTTACCAAAGAGAAGTTCAAAGGGAGTCTTACCATCAAGTAGTGGTGTAGGCGTGTAATTGATGAGATATGCAGCTGTGAGAACACACTCTCCCTAAAAAGAGATAGGTAAATTGGATTGAAAACGCAATGCTCTTGCCACATTCAAGAGGTGTCTATGTTTTCGTTCCACTACTCCATTTTGTTGTGGTGTGTAGATGCAAGTGGTTTGATGTATTATGCCTTGAGCGTGGAAAAAATCCTGCAAAGGTTTAGAAAGAAATTCTTGTCCATTGTCGGACCTTATTTGCTTAACCTGCAATCCAAATTGTGTTTTAACCATATTGATAAACATGATTAAATAACAATAGACTTCAGATTTGAATTTTATAAGATATACCCATGTAGCACGACTAAAATCATCAACAATGGTAAGAAAATAATAAGCTCCAGAATGAGAAAGAGTTTGATATTTGCCCCAAATGTCACAATGAATAAAAAGAAAAGGGGATTCAACTCTTTTATTACTAAGAGGAAAAATATTCCTAGTTTGCTTTGCTCGATGACAAGCATCGCAACATTCAGGAAAAGTCTTAAAATCAAATGAGACTTTATTAGATAGTAAAGAAAGTCTATCAAAGAAAGGATGCCCCAATCTTTGGTGCCAAAGCTCCATCGAAGGTGGGGTAGTTACATTTGAAATAGAAACTGCTTTCAATGGCTTGAAATAATAAAGACCATTACGCATTTCACCCATCCCAATCAGCTTCCTCGTTGTGAGGTCTTATAATATGCAAAAGGTTGGTAAGAATATTACAGCACAATTTAAATTTTTAGTTATCTTGCTGACAGAGATAAGGTCACAAGTAAATTCAAGAATATAAAGAACATTATCAATAGTAAGATTTGGTGCAAGGGAAACTGATCCCGTGCTTTGAATTGGAATAAATTTTCCATTTGGAATTTTAGCATGTTGATTGGAATTTAAATGATGTATGTGCTTAAATTTATATTTGCAACTGTTGTACCTATGATTTTGATGATTACAAAACACATTTGAGTGACTAATTGGTTTATTTAAGTGTGTAGTTAAGTTGCTAAAAGATTGCAAGTAAACTTGGATTGCACTAAAAATAGACCAAAAGGATTCAAAATGTGCAGAGAGTCGGCTTTGGTAAAGTGCAGCCAGCTCTGGTGAAATGGAATGCAGAAAGCCGGCTCTGGAAGCTGCAACCGGCTCTACAGGCAAAAATTTGAAGACCGTTGTTTGGCGCGCGCGGAGAAAAGACGCAAAGCCGGCTCTGGCTTTGTAGCCGGCTGTGAGGGTGCATTTAATGCACAACGGTCGAGTCTTTTGAAGAATATTTAATGTATTTAAAGTCGGAGTTCCAAAGCTGGCTCAAAGTCTTGCAACCGGCTCTCGAGGAAAATAGAATGTCCTGCAATCCTGGATAGCCGGCTCTGAAATTGTAAGCCGGCTCTAGAATGTTAAGCCGGCTCTCCTAACAATCCTGCAACTCGACTTTTGCGTCCTGCAGAGTATTTAATGACCTCCAATGGCTAGTAACGGCTATTTTCGAGCAAGGGGGTATAAATATGGTTGGTAACAGATCTAAAGAGTTTTAGAGAACATTGCATTGAATATCTTTACCT